TTTTTTTTTTCTAGCCTTATCCGTGGGCTGAGATTCAAGAGCTGGCCGATACTTGGCTTACCGTTGCCTTGGAGCGGCATTACCAGGTTCCGGTGCAGTCGGATCCACGAACAAGTACCCTCTACGAGCTTCTCTTTGACTCTTGTTGGGATCGGGCCTGTGAGATTCTCGGCACTGCTCAGGCTCGGGCTGCCCAGCGTTTAAAGAATCTTAAGATATGGCTCTCGGCCGATTTCTGCCTGTCAAGACTCTTTCTTGAGGCCCCTTGTCCAGTGGTAAGTCATTCATTTTTTTTTTTTGAATTATTCGCTTTTCTTTATTTTTATATTTGTTTCTTTCTATTTGTAGGCTCCCCGTATGTTTCAATATGGGGATGACCCTCTTGAATATCTAAGATATCTGATCGGGGATTCTACGCTTGGTGACGAGATCGTTGACGCCCTTACTTGGTACGAGTACTTCGAGTATGTACGCGGTGATGCTCCCTGTAAGTTCATTTCTCTGTTTTCTTTTTATTTTTCAATAATAAAGGGAAATTAATTTATTGGCTATTTCCTTCCACTTATTATTATTTATTTTGAAATGTGAGGAAAAGAATCTTTGTTCCTACTCTCTTTTTCTTTTTCAGAACTCGTCGTTTTCGCTGACCCCGCGGAGAAGGAGATAAGGCTCTTGGTGTTCGAGCGCCACTATGAAAAAGGGGTTTTTCCGTCTTTTATTCTATTCTTTTATTTTTTTCAACGGATTTCTCTGTTTTCTTTTTTTTTTTGTAAGAGGAAAGAAAAATATAGAGAAAATTTAAAGGTTGAAAGAAACTGTTTATTTATTTATCTATAATCCTATCTCTTTTTTTTTTTTGTGAATAATTTTTCCTTTTTCATAGTTTGTTAATGTTATTTAGTTACATGTAATGCAAAAAATAATAAATAAAATAATTAAAAATTACAGGCGCACAGCGCACAATTCATTCTTGTATGGCAGTGGATGTCCATAATCGACCACAATGCATTTTTCATCAAATCATGATTTTTTTTTTTAATAGACAAAAAGAAAAATGAAAAATCACTTTTTATTAGCCATTACGAAATCAGACCGCCTTCGGGGCTTAGCGAGCAAGGCGGGGTGAAACGTTTTTATGTGCCCAGGGTAAGCATTGGAACTTTGCAAGGACTTTCTATTCGAAGGAGAACAATAGTAACATTTAAAAGAAACTCTTTTATGCTTCAAAATATGAGCAATTACTGCGTTCAAATCATGTGAAGAAAATGAATGACCGCACGGGTGACCATCAACTGGGTACTTACATAGATAAGAATAGGGTATATCCGGGTTTTTTCGGAAACATTCATAATATTTACGTTTATAAATTTTACGCTTAAAGTTAGGAGCGTAAATTTTCCAAGCCATCTTGCCGCAACGTTCAATATAATGAGTTTCCCGTATATCATCGGAGCTAGAAGATGAGCTAGAAGATGATCCTCGCCTGTTGGATATTGGTGCGTGCGCAGAGGCTGATGAGCTCGATGACGCCTTCCTACCACATACTCTGCATTTTTCCGTCTTGCGACCCCGTCCTGGCGAAATTGAGGAGTCACTGTCGCGACGCAAACGTTTCTGTTTTTTCTCTCCCTTGGCTTTCACAACAGGTCTCGTCCTAGACGATCCCGAAGAACTTGCCGAGCTGCTTCGACGTCGGTTTTGGCTCTTACGCTCTCCCTTGGTTTTTCTCTTATCGGAATCTGATGAGCTCCCTGAGGACACCCTGCGACGAGACCTGTCCTTATTCTTCACATCCTCGGCTTTGCTCTTTAGTTGGTAAGCCTTGTGCTTCTTGAGCTCCTTTGGACCACGTTCTGGCCTCTCGAGCGACGAAACTGCATTGGGATTGCTGCAGGAGGGTACAGCAGCTTCATTTGCTGTAGGAGGAGCCGACAGCTGGACGTCATCATCTGTGTCTCCCGTTTTGCCGGGGCTTTCGACAGAATAAGTGTCGTCTTTGGGGCTTGCATCGGGAACACCCGAAGAATTTGCCGAGCTGCTTCGACGTCGTTCTTTGCCCTTACGCTCTCCCTTGGTTGTACTCGTATCAGAATCTGATGAGCTCACTGAGGACACCCTGCGACGAGACCTGTTATTTTTCTTCACATCCTCGGCTTTGCTCTTTGATCTGTCAAACTTGTGCTTCTTGCGCTCCTTTCGACCACGTTTGTTAGGGCACTCATTTTTAGATGGTTGTGTTTGCTCGTCCATAGGTTCTTCGAAGAAGGAGCTCATCGATGAAATACATGGCATCTTCATATTAGTCAAGGGCGGAATTGGTGATATATCATGGCTAATATTGACCGTCTTAAAGTTCGATTTAGGCGATGAAGTGTATAGTCTGGCTGATGGCTGATCAGAACTCATTGACCCCTTATCTGGATACTGAGATGTTTCTCCCATGTGCCGTAGTGGGGGTTGTGATAAGCACATACTGGAATCTGTATCAACCACATAGCGAAGTGGAAACTCATTACTGGTATTATGAATCGTGGATCTCGGCAATAAGTCCTCCGAAATTGTCGGGACATTTTGCGCTACCTCTTCAGCTGGCCTCTCGAGCGACGAAACTGCATCAGGATTGCTGCAGGAGGGTCCAGCAGCTTTATTTGCTGTAGGAGGAGCCGACAGCTGGACATCATCATCTGTCTCTCCCGTTTTGGAGTTTCCATGGGGAACACCGGTGGTCATTTTGTCTTTTTCCTCTTCAACTCGATCACCGAAACGTAAATTCTCATCGTGTTCAGCATGCGTTCTTAGATTCGGTATCATCAATGTTGATGAACGCTGAGTTAGGTTCCGTGAGAATGATGTTGCTTCAAACGTTACCATTTTTTTCGAGGGCTTCGTTGGGTGAATTGAACCTGATGATCTTGCAGCATTTTTGGGGTGAACTGGGCTCTTTGTGGTGCGTATCATTCTTTTAACAAGCAGACCATTCAATCCCTTCTCTTTTTCTTTCGATTTCAAGAATGTCGTCACGATCCCATTTGACAGCTGGTACATGTCATTGGTGAATGACGCCAGGTTTTTACCCATACATTGGATTATTCCTAATTCTCCACTGCTAAATAGTGTTGTTAATACAATATATAAATATGAAAAACTTTTTGGAAGTGACCCAATTTGAAAATTTTGGTTCAACTCAGTAAGACTCATTCGAATGAACTGACTCGATCGATGAATGACGTCGATACCCTTTTTTTCTTTGTCCGATTGCGGAGGCTCCCACCCCGGCCAGTCGTGAATATAAAGAGACAAATTTTTTTCGTGATTTCGTACAATGTAGCACGTGAAAAAACGCGAAGAAGTTTTATTTAAGCTAGTGGCCCTTGTCTTCAGTGCAGTATAGATATTTGACCTTTTGCTGAAAGGTACTGACTGTAGCGACTTTCGCCATTGGTCTGCTACTACCGAACTTATTGGCACCCAATTTTCCATTTCCTCTTGTTGGTTTTCGACAACATCGCATACTTTTCTCTTATGGTAATGGGACCATACTACTGCGCTCATCATCATTTGTTCCTGTGGAATATCTAGTCTGCTGCACCAAAGATCAACTAATCCTTTTACTAATCCACCCTCTCCTCTGTACCCCTGAATCATTGTCGTTTTGCCCGTAGAACTTGGTCCAATTGCAATGATTGTAACAGTTTTCTCCTGGGCCAGTGGGGAACAATTGATTTGGTGCAAAAGGTCTTCCATTGAAGTCGAGAAGTTTGCCGGTATCAAAGAACGTCCTTCAATTGCCTGCGGTGGTTGGTCACTACCCCGAGCATACGCGAAGATAGAAACAGGAGTCTCCACCTTTTGTTCTTTCGTTCTGTAGGTCATTGCTTACCTCATCTGATGCTGCCGTCGCCCT